TCTGGACAGTCCATTTTAAGGATGAGCCCCCCGCAGCTGCCCGCGTGGTCTGGAAGTGTCCGGCTCCCCTATTCCCTTACCCACCTCAACACACACATGCATACACCTTCCAGCCTATGCCCCCAAACCAGTGGCTGTCACTATTTGGGATGGGGACCCTCTTTCTTACTGAAGGGGCTGAGCCAGTGGAGAGGTGGGAGGTGTGCAAGGCCCCAATCAGGCTGGGACAGGTGGCTGGATCCACGGGGACCAATGAGCCTGGTGCCATCTCCCTGTCTGGGAGGGCCACCCTGGGCAGGAGAATGCAGGGGATACCCGGTTCCCAGAGAGCCAGTGAGCAAGCTTGCCCAGGGCCACCTGCCTGCCCGAAGGAGCACCTGCTCACCCACACCAGAAGCCACCGGACATGCTGACCCCATGCCAGCTCTTGGAGACAGAGCTGGGCCGTTCCCTGTGGTCCTCTCCCAGAATCCTGCGTGACATTCTGGGTTTCCCTGAAGGCTTGTCTCGAGCCCATTGGGCCCCCTGTGCCAGCCTGGCTGCTTCTGCAGTCCCAGAGTAACTGACCCCATCCCTCCAATGCCCACTGGACCTCATGGCTAGTTCTGAACTAGACCCATCTTGGAGCACGGGTCGAGCCCTACCAGGTGCCTCTTCTCACCTGGCCATTTGTGTCAGGACATGGTCTCCTCCAAGGGCAGGCTGAGGGACAGGACCCACGGGGCAGGAGGCAGAAGGGGGGATCAACAGTCCCTCCAGCCTCCATGCCTGCGTGTACAGTCGGAAGGCCTGGGAAGGGGCCTGAGAGGGTGACTCGCTCTCTGGGCAGGCCCAGGCCTGGCATCCTGTTCCCTCCTCACCTTTCAGTGGCCTGGGAGGCATCAATGTCCTCTCGCACAAGGTGGGGGGGCAGCGAGGACCCCAAGAGGGCCTGGCCGAGCAGGCCAGTGGGAGCCTGCCCAGCATGAAGGTTCTGTTCCTCTCCGGACTTTTCAGTTTCTCTCCATCTTCCTGTTGGTCCTTACAGCATCTCTGGGCCCTGTCCAGGGTGACTCTGGCTCCAGGGAAGCATGCAGGAGGCCTCCTCCACAGGCTGCAGTCCTAGTCTGGGGTCAGCTTCCCTTCTGAAACTGGGCATTCAGGCCTCAGGCTGCCCCTCTGCATGGGCTGATCCCCAGCCCTCCATGGAATATGTGGCCCCCTCTGTCAAGGATCTGGAGCAGAAGGGGACCTCTGCCTGTTCCCAGCTGCAGCTGCCCCAAACCTGGTGCTCGGGCCACCCAGCTGGGCTTCTGCCTGTATTCCCTTCCCAAACTTGTTGGCTTGGGGACCAGCAGGCTCAGGGGTTCTGACACTGAGCACTTTGTGACCAGTCCCTCCCCATGGATCAGACCCCTCCCTGTTCCCCCATGGGATAGCCAACAGTTGACCAAGCCCCTGAAATCTGAGTGGCTCTACTGCTGCCCCAGCTTCCATGGTCCCCCTGCCAGCCCCACCTGCCGGGCCAGGGTGATGCAACCACTCTGAGACCCAGGGATGCCTTGGGACTCTTTGTCCTGTCCTGGTGACTAGGGTGTTGGCCTTATTCCTTAGTTGAGCTCAGTCCCACCAGGGTGAAGTCCTTCCTCCACACAGGGCAGGAGAGACTGTACCTGATGAGGCCTTGACAGGCCTGATACCTGTGCAGCCCATCAAATCCAACAGCTTCACGAAGCGTTCTGAAAGACAAGCGTCTAGCTGGTGGGGAAACCAAGGAACCCCAGCCAACAGCAAGAGACTGGAGCAACTTCGGTGCAAGTCAGTCCTGAACCCAATCCCGGCTTCTTCCACTAGAGCCCACCAGCCCCACTTGGCTTATCCAGGGGAACTTCGGAGGCCTCTGCTGTCAGACTCAGGGCAATATGCCTTGCCTGACCGGTCTCAGGAGGAGTTGGCCCAGACCTCCACCCAGCACGTGGCCCAGCCCCAAGAGCAGTCAAGGCCTGGCTCAGGGCCGGGACCCTGCTGGGTGGTCCCCCATGGGCTGCAGGGCTGAGCTGCCCCCTTTAGACCCCTCCCGACAGCGCATTCCTGGCTCCCCGGCCCCTCCTCCGACTCCCGGGCCTTCCAGCCCCCTCCCCCGCTGGCCCAGCCAGTGTCTGAATCTGCTTCTGATTCCAACCCTACCGCCGAGCCCCCC